AGCTAATTTGTTCTGTAGCTGTGTAATCTCCACATTGCTGTCCTCGGTCTTCTGCAACAGTTCAGACTGATTGTTCTCAAGCTTCTGGCTTTGGGCCTCCATCTGTATCAGCAGTGATGCCTTTTCATTATTCACTGTATCAAATTGCTCTTTGAGTTTATCATGGTTAAGCGATAGCTGCTCATATTGTTGTTTTAAAAGATCGTTTTGGGATGACAAAGTCGTAAGTTGTTCGTTGAATCTTTCTATATCTTGAGCTCCATTGTCAAGATTGAAGAGAGCTTCCTCAAGCTTACCATTAAGTTGAGTTTTCTCCTTTTCAAGTAGCGCAAGCTTAGCTTCATGTTCTGATGACACACTGGCTGCCATATCAAGTGAAGTTTTAAGTTCCAAATTCAGTCTGTTCAAATCATCTTTCAGATTAACATTCTCATCAGAAACATTAACAGCCTCGGTCCTAGCCAGCTCAATGTCCAACATCAGTTTTTCATTTTCGCTCTTCAGTTGTTGACAAAGTTGTTCCAGTTGCTGTACACTGACTGTTAATTCTTGCACAAGATTCTCTTTGTTTTTGACATCTTTAGCACTGAGCTCTAATTGAGTCTGCAAGACATTCTTTTCTTGCAACATCTCGGCAGCTAGCTTCTCATGTTCATCTTTTGATCTAATCATGACATGTTCCATGTCAGTCAACTGTTCTTGCATGCTCTCTACTTTTCCCTCATTTGTCTGCAACAAACTTTCGGTAGCATCCAACTTCACCTTCAACTTCTCACACTCATTGCTGAGCTCGGTCATCACATCTTCCCCATCCTTCACACTACTCTTCAGATTGTCAACTGTGACATTTTGCTGCTCTAATTGCTGCTTCAATGTCGCTATTGTCTTCATGTTTTCTTTGTCTCCAGTTTGCAATGAATCCAGTTTACTCTGTGCTTGATTTAGTTCATCCTGCATTGATTTGACAGCGGCATCTTTCTCACTTTGTGATACTTTCATAGATAATACAGTAGTCTCCAGCAGTTCTACCTGTTTCTCAAATGTTTCAATTGAAGCATCTTTGTCCTCGACATCCATCTGTAAAAGTTCTAATTTACTACACATTTTCTGGTTCTCCTCCTCCGTACTTTGAAGTTTTTGTTTGAGGACATTTACATCTTTTTCTTTCTTTCTCACATGTTCTACAATCTTGGCATTCTCATTTTGCTGTGTGGCTAGCTGGTTACTGAAATCGTCCATCTTCTTCTGAATCTTGTCTCTCAGATCATCAATTGAGTCTTCCAGCATGCCCACCTCGCCATGCAGATCATCAATTTCGTCATCCTTTTCCAACAGAGCAGCCCTGTTCTGTTCCACTGTCTCTTCCAAATTCTTCTTACTATTCTGCAAGTCCTCTATGGTTGCATTCATGGTAGCAGCAGTGCTATCAAATTTACTTTGTAGTTGTTCTAATTCCTGAACTGTGCTGGATAATTCTCCATCTTTAGCCTTCAGTGCATTCTGACTCTGCTCAAGATGCTCTGTCGCCATTGAGTGCTGCTGTTCTAAAGTACCCATATCGCTTTCAGCTTTATGTAGTTTAGACTGCAAGGTCAGGACTTCTTTTTCACAATTTTCCACTTGTTTCAACAGTTCGCTAAGTTCCGACTCTCGGTTTCCAGCCAGAGTGGTTGTTTGTTCCAGGTTTAACTTCATGTCACAAAGTTCTGTCTGTAGAATTTCAATCAAGGTTTCTTTTTCTGATAATGTGTTTGTCAGGGTGGTCAAGTCATCAATTTTCTCTTTCATGCAATCTTCCAAGTGTGAAGCTTGCTGCTGCAAATTGTTGATCACATCTACAGGAAAAAAATATATGTTCTTACACAATGTTCTCAATCATAGCATTATACAAAAATCATGGAACCTTGTTTTTGCATGGTGAAATGGGGCCACCACAGTGAAATGGTGACTCCACAAATAGACCCTGTGGTGGAATGGTGACCCTGTGGTGGAATGGTGACCCTGTGGTGGAATGGTGACACTGTGGTGGAATGGTGACCCTGTGGTGGAATGGTGACCCTGTGGTGGAATGGTGACACTGTGGTGGAATGGTGACAGTGTGGTGGAATGGTGACCCTGTGGTGGAATGGTGACCCTGTGGTGGAATGGTGACCCTGTGGTGGAATGGTGACCCTGTGGTGGAATGGTGACCCTGTGGTGGAATGGTGACACTGTGGTGGAATGGTGACCCAGTGGTGGAATGGAGACCCAGTGGTGGAATGGTGACACTGTGGTGGAATGGTGACCCCTTGGTGGAATGGTGACCCCTTGGTGGAATGGTGACCCCCTTAGTGGAATGGTGACCCCCTTAGTGGAATGGTGACCCCCTTAGTGGAATGGTGACGCCCCTTAGTGGAATGGTGAACCTGTAGAGGAATGATGACCCTGTGGTGGAATGGTGACACTGTGGTGGAATGGTGACCCCTTGGTGGAATGGTGACCCCTTGGTGGAATGGTGACCCCTTTAGTGGAATGGTGACCCCCTTAGTGGAATGGTGACCCCCTTAGTGGAATGGTGACCCCCCTTAGTGGAATGGTGACCCTGTAGAGGAATGGTGACCCTGTGGTGGAATGGTGACCCTGTGGTGGAATGGTGACCCTGTGGTGGAATGATGACCCTGTGGTGGAATGGTGACCCTGTGGTGGAATGGTGACCCTGTGGTGGAATGGAGACCCTGTGGTGGAATGGAGACCCTGTGGTGGAATGGTGACCCAGTGGTGGAATGGTGACCCTGTGGTGGAATGGAGACCCTGTGGTGAAATGGAGACCCTGTGGTGGAATGGAGACCCTGTGGTGAAATGGAGACCCTGTGGTGGAATGGAGACCCTGTGGTGGAATGGAGACACTGTGGTGGAATGGTGACCCTGTTGTGGAATGGTGACCCTGTGGTGGAATGGTGACCCTGTGGTGGAATGGAGACCCTGTGGTGGAATGGAGACCCTGTGGTGGAATGGAGACCCTGTGGTGGAATGGTAACCCAGTGGTGGAATGGTAACCCAGTGGTGGAATGGTAACCCAGTGGTGGAATGGTGACCCAGTGGTGGAATGGTGACCCAGTGGTGGAATGGAGACCCTGTGGTGGAATGGAGACCCTGTGGTGGAATGGAGACCCTGTGGTGGAATGGAGACCCTGTGGTGGAATGGTAACCCAGTGGTGGAATGGTAACCCAGTGGTGGAATGGTAACCCAGTGGTGGAATGGTAACCCAGTGGTGGAATGGTGACCCAGTGGTGGAATGGTGACCCAGTGGTGGAATGGTGACC